TTGATTTTTTTTAAGATCATTTTATTGAGGGCTCTTACAACTCTTGTTACAATCCATACATCAATTGTATCCGACATATTTGTACATATATTCCATTGTTAGATTCTAGACATTTACTTTCCATTGAGTCCTTGGGATCAGCTCCTCTTCCCCCCCCCTCCCCCCTTTTTTAAGCATTATGAAAACTTGGTTTGTAATTAGATCCATTTGTTTAGATGGAGGAACTTTGAAAAATCTGCACTTTATTGTTGTCAACATATTTTCCTGCTTCTCTAAGTGATTTTAACCCCCAACAATATTATCATGGTGGCACATCATGGACTAATTTCTCAAACAGAAGGAAAATGACACATTGCTCTGAAGTAGCGCTACCCAGCCTGCCACCCGTATTCTTCTGACTTTCAATGTGTAATCCCCAGGGCTCTGCAGGTCTGTGAGAGCTGAGGTCTTGAGTGGATACTTGAAAGTAAGCTTGTGAAGGAAAGAGAAAAAGTTACACAGGAGGGTGCTGTGGTGGTAAGGAGTGAGCAGGTAAAACCCTTAGGTAATAGGAATATTTGACAAACAGCTACTCTTTCCCCAAAGTATTCTGAGCTCTTGATTTGCAAACTGAAATTCTTGAGTTCTAACTGTTCTATTTAAAGGGTTTGAGCATCAGATCGGGGTTTGCTAAAAATAAAGCTGGAGTCTAATTAGAAGCAAGAGCATTCTGTTAAGAGAAAATAGTGATTTTATGAAGAACCAGCCAAATTCTCTTGTCCTTAGAGCACAGATTTTTTATTTATAAGCATTTTATAACGGATTCTAAAAACTTGGGAAGGTGTCTGTAAACAGTCTCTAGGAAGAGACTTGGCAAGTGACCAATCCTCTGAATACATTTAGGAAAGTGGAAGGTGGTGGAAGTAATCCTTTAAACTCAGCCACCCCATCCCCTGCACTCCGGTGCCCAAATATTTGAAGTCATCCACCACAATTACAAACTATAGGTAGTCAGTCGTTTGTCATATGAAGCGGAATGACCCCTAGATCATGAGCCTTTCCTTAGAATGATGTGCACACAGTAGGCCTATCTTTGTGTTGCTCATTGGAAATAGAGAACAAGTTGAAATGCAAGTGTATGATTGTTAGCAACCTCATTCAGTGTTATGCATGTGTCAGAGATTTGTGGGACTAACTGAATTTTTCATTTTGCCGATAGGACAAGTGTTGGATAGCCGGAGTCAGTCTCCATGGAGATTATCTTTGTTAACAGATTTCTTCTGGGGAATAGCAGAGTTTGTGATTCTGTTGTAAGTATAGTATAGTCGTTCTCTTATTAGCTCTACTATTTAAGTTGATAGAAGTGTTTTCGGTACTTTACATTGTGTCTTAAAAGCTCAGCTTTCCTGAAGCAATTTTCATTTGTAAAGCTTTCTGTTTCTCTCCAATTTGTGGGTAATTTTTATTCCATATTATGCAACAAGTATGTAAAGGTCCCTGGGTGTGTGGTACAAACGGTTTGCCCTTGACCATTAAAACCAAAAGGTTGGCAGTAATGTTAGGTAAAGTGGCAGGGGAATGTGGGAACAATCTGACAACTGATTTAGAGTGAAGGAAAGATGTTTGGGATGACTTAGGCTTCAGTCTAGGAGAGTTAACCACAAATAAAGATAAAGAAGAGTGAAATTGGCACAATAGAGCACATCCTGTGTTAGACTGATCCTTGCACTAGGTGACAGTGTCCAGTTGGCTACCTGAAATGTGGTTTTAGTCATCCTCTCACAGAGAGGACAGTTGATGCCTTGGGAATATATTGTCATGTTGTTAAAACAATGGTACTTCCTTTTTTTTTTTCAGTTTCAAAACTCTGTTTCAGCAAGATGTGAAGAAAAGAGGCTATAGAAGTTCATCTGATTCTAGATATGATGATGGAAGAGGGTATAACGATCTATTTTATAATAAGATGCTTTTACCCCTGTGGAATATTTTAATTAAATCACATATTATATGTAGTCTTACACAAATTAAAAGTTTATATCCTATTTCATGAAAGTAATGCATTTCTAGAAATAAAAAGTTAAGTTGCCACTGATAATGATACTCTGAGTTAATCTGGCAAAGTAAAATATCAATACATTTCTTGTGGGAATGAAAGTTGGGGCTTAGTCTGATTAGAAGCTAGATTTTTGGCTTCTAATGAAAACTGGGAAATCAAAGAACATGGAGCTAGGCTTATATTGCCACCTCGCACAGATCAGCTGGAATCTAGCTGGGTAGTTACAGGCTTGTGTTCAGTTCATCACCCTGTTTGCCTGGCTCACTTTCCTCATGTCCGTTCTGGGCCTGATTCCTGTAAGTATTTTAATTTAGGACTTTTGGCCTAAATAGAAGTTGCCATTGTAAGTCCTATTTTTGGTATTGAAAAAGAAAAGGCCTCTACAAATGTTTAGAAGTAACCGGTCGCAGTTTATCTACCAAACAGCTCATACAACCTTTCCTTTTACAAGGCCGCCTGGAAACCCTCCCCGAAGAATGGGTCGCATTAATCATCTGCACGGCCCCAGCCCTCCTCCCATGGCTGGTGGATGAGGAAGGTAACTTAGCATCTGTGTTAGGTTGTGTTGTCCGGGTTTTACTTTGAAAGTGCCTCCTTAGGAAAGTTATCTTTAGGAAACCAGAATTTTGTAATTACATCATTAGTTAAGTGGTGGTAGAAGGGAGAAAAAAACCAAAATACTTCTTAATCCTTGAAAAAATGCCCTGGCTTTTTCAGTAAAAGGCCTTTTGAAAGTTGGTTTTGATAACATTTCATAATTGTTGGGTTCCTTTAAATGATCCAAATGAATAACTAGGAACTAATTCTTACTTTTTTCTTCTAGGTAAACGTCTGCTCTAAGCAGCAGACAACTGGACATATGCATTCACAGCAGAAGGAACCCATCAAGAAGTGGAAGGCTGCCCACCTAGAGTGGACGAGCAGATGAATGTGTATGTCCCCACAAGAATTGCTCTGTATCCCCACAGACGAATGAGGTCGTGCTGGGAATTCCCTCTGCAGGGATCTGGCGTGGCTGACATGCAGTTCTATAAATGCACATTTTGGTTTCATCATCTTTTTTGTAACACATGAATATTTTTAGGTTGCAAAACTGGGTCCTCATCTTTATATAGCTGAAACAGAAAAATCTGAATTGCAAGAAAATAAGAGGCTGTGCACCCAATACTCTTAGTACCACCTTTTCCAACTTCTTACGTGATTGTTTTCATTTACAAATAAATCACATATTTATCATGATAGTATGCCGTTTCTGCTCTTGATTTCCTTTGATCTCGAAACATTTTTGTTCTGTGAATCTGATGTGTTTGATTTGCTATTGATATCATTAATTTTAATTCTGAGCCACTGCTTGAAGTGCTGCTTATTGGCTTGAAACCAGGGCCTTTGAGCCGTTTTTCATTTTTTCCCCTTGGTTTGATTCCTTGCTGGGAATTTACCTTTCCTCTCTACCTTTGAACAAGATTCTGATCCTGGATGGAAATGTAGATTATCAGCGAAGGGTTGAACTGGAATGAACCTGTTCCATGTCCTGCTTTAAGCCCATCTAAACACTAGTAACTTGCATATTCTTTTATTAGAATGGAAGCTCTGTTAAGGAATTTTATCTTGTTTTTCCTGGTAGGATGTTAGGTAGTATGTACATGCAATTGACATTGAAATATGTATTGGAAAAATGAATGATACAATAATAACACGTTTGAAACTGAAATTTTCAAATGAAAGCTTTAGGTCATACTGACTTTATATCAACCTATGTGCCAGAAAATAAGGATATAGTGGAATAAGACAATGGTCTTCAGAGAGAAGGAAACAGAACAATCATACCTACCATGTACTGAGGATAACGGTGCTGTGTGTTAGACAAGGTTCTTCTCATGAGCTTATGTTGTGGTTCCATGACAGTATGTAAACCGGTATGACTGTTGTAGACATTTGTGCTTCAAAGGAGAGGGGATGAAGAGAGTTGAAACAAAGAATAAGAATGAACCTGCTGTTGGGAAGGCTGAGGGAAGAGCATGACAAATACAAAAGCAAGCCTCAGGCTCAGTGAGGGTAAGGGCGTGGTGTATGTGAGAGGTTGAGAACGCTAGTGTAGTTGGAAACCGCAAGAGGAGAGTGGTATAAAGTGAAATTACAAACGTAGGCAGGAAATAGGTTGGGTATGTCTGTGGACCATGGTTCATTTAGATTTTGTTGTGTGAGCCAAGGAAAACCAGAGTTTAGCACCAATGTGATATAGGGTTTTTGAAATAAGGTAATATTTCAAGTGGAGTGCTAGGTACATAGTATTAACTACATAATATTTGGTGGGGGGTGGGATTGGAGCCGTGTATAAAGAACTGATCATGTGAAGACAGATGAATCAGTCATGAGGCTGTTCTGTGATTGATGCTGGTGGGTTGGACTAGCCAGGAGCAGTTAGGTATCCAGAGAAGTGGATGAATTCAGGTATATTTCAGAGAGACAATACAGGAACTGCTCATGAGTTGGAGAAGGTGAGGAAAAGTGCAAAATAAGCTTGCATTGAGTTGAAAATGAGAGGGTTTTCTTTTTTAATCGTTTTGTTAGGGGCTCATACAACTCTTATCACAATCCATACATACATCAATTGTGTAAAGCACATTTGTAAATTCATTGCCCTCATCATTTTCAAAACATTTCCTCTCCACTTAAGACCCTGGTATTAGGTCCTCATTTTCCCCCTCCCTCACCGCTCCCCCCTCCCTCATGAGCCCTTGATAATTTATAAATTATTATTTTGTCATATCTTGCCCTGTCCGACATCTCTCTTCACCCACTTTTCTGTTGTCCGTCCCCCAGGGAAGAGGTCACATACAGATCCTTGTAATTGGTTCCCTCTTTCCAGCCCACCCTCCCTTCACCCTTCCAGTATCGCCACTCACGCCACTAGTCCTGAAGGGATCATCCACCCTGTATTTCCCTGTATTTCCAGTTCCTGTCTGTACCAGTGTACATCCTCTGGTCTAGCCAGGCTTGCAAGGTAGAATTCGGATCATGACCGTGGGGGCAGGGAGGAAGCATTTAGGAACTAGAGGAAAGTTGTATTTTTCATCGTTGCTACATCACACCCTGACTGGCTCGTCTCCTCCCCGAGGCCCCTCTGCAAGGGGATGTCCAGTGGCCTACTAATGGGCTTTGGGTCTTCACTTCACACTCCCCCCCTCATTCACTATGGTAAGATTTTTTTGTTCTGAGAGGAAGGATTTTTTTTGTTGTTGGTTCTTAAACAGTGGCAGGGCAGACATCAGGAGTTCTAATTGGGACATAATCAGTTTGCAATGCCTCACAGAAACTCAAGCAGAGATACCAAATTGACAGCTGGTTATGAGTTGGGAACTCGGGGGGGTTAGTCCAAACTGGAAATAGTCCATGGAAGTCATTTTCATATTTAAATCATGATGAGAAAAGTCTCCCAAGGGGTATATGGAAAGGCCGCCTAAGGAAAGCTGCTTTTCAGGACCCCAAATGGGATCATGTAACTGAACTGTGGGGAGGGTGTCATGAAAAACTGGCAGTAACAAAAGGTTTTTGAATGCGAAAACCAAAAATTAAAATCTAATGTATAATGAAACATAGGGGTTTCTGGCAGTACTTGCCCGTGTTGCAAATGTCTGGGTGGAAGGAGGGCAGGTGTCACAAGTGGAAAACATCCTAACATCAGAGACTAAATTGCTGAAAAAGCAGCACACAAAAAGCAACGTGTTAATAGGAACCTATACACTTACGCCCCTCTCTAGGCAGCCCCGCCCTTCACAATTTCCCGGGATGCTCTGGGGCAGCCCCAGCAGCGACCATTTTCACTGTGGGCAGCCGACACAGGCTGCGCCTACACCGACTCTTCCGCCTTGGGGGGCGGGGGCGGGGCGGCCTCAGCAGCCCCGAGGGGAGAGGTTGATGGTGACCATGACCCAGGCCGAGAAGGGGGACACGGAAAACGGAAAGGAAAAGGGCGGGGAGAAGGAGAAGGAGCAGCGCGGTGTGAAGCGGCCCATCGTGCCTGCGCTGGTGCCGGAGTCGCTGCAGGAGGTGAGGCTCGGGGGCCGGGCGGGGGCCGCCGCGCTCCGCGGGCGGCTGTGGGCAAGGGCGCGGGCACCTGTTCTGCAGACCTGGCCTCAGGTGGCCGGTGCGAGCCGTCGGGCCCCAGGCTAGCTGCGCGCGCAGACCCAGAAGGCGAGGGCGCGCCCTGCGCTGCGTTTCCGGTCCGTGCGCCGGAAGTTCCCGGGCGGAAGTCCCCGCCCAAGGCCCGAGAGCATCGCGCGTATCCCTCCCCATGGCCGGGGACCTCTGCTCTTACCTGGTCATTGCTTCCGGGCAGTCAAACGAACTTTCCAAGTTTCTGTGCTATTTAAAAAAAAGAGATCACTGATGAACTTTTGTGCCCGGCGGGAAGCATCAGCTGTCAGGGGATGTTTACATTTCGGCCTTTTTCTTGTTCAAGACATCTCAGATAATGAAGTCATTCCACATATAAAAACAAGGAAAAGGCAGACATTTTTAAAAAAATCAATTTATTGGGCCTCATACAATTCATCACAATACATAGATCAATAGTGTAAAGCACATCTATACATTTGTTGCCCTTATTCCCAAAATTCGCTTTCCTCTTGGGTTCCCGGAATCAGCTCGTTTTCCTTTTTTCCCCACCCCCTCCCTCCCCCCTCCCCCTCCCCCATGAACCCTTGATAATTTATAAATTATTATT